GGGGGGGAAGCGGAAATGTGAGGGAAGGGGAACGAAAAGGCCAAACAGCCCTGTGGAAACACGACCGAGAGGAAACGATACGGAACGGAAGAAGGAAGATAATGATGACTATCGCCAAACATACCTTGGGATCTGAACAGGTAGGAAGAGGGATGGCAGAAAGAGACCGGCGCCCCCCACGGTGATGGCAGAAAGAGGAGCACCCTGCAAATCGACAGTTGGTGGCTTTCGATGTCGGTGAAGAGGGAAATAATCACGGTCAATAATGAAGAATTCTTGTGTAGACGCACCGCACCGCACCGTACCCAGGCCTGAAGCGGAGACTATGGAGAAGGAGGGCCCTCCAGACCAACCAGGTCAGCAGAGCCCAAGTAGTCCAACGGATCTTCTGACCGTCAGAGCTCGGAAGGGCAGGTCCTTCACAGCAAGGTGGGTAAAGAAGGCTATCGGAACGGAAATGAGGGCAATAATGGGGCCTCTAGGGACGTGTTCGTCAGAACTCCAGCCAAATCTATACTGGCGACTGGCGAGGGCCCCCAGTGGTGGCGCACAGAGGACCGTGAGGCCGCGCGAGACCGATGATCTGGACTCCTGTCCTTCCTCCACCCTTCACTTTTCTTCCCTTTGTGGCTGTGGCTGCCTCTAGCCCAGAGGATATCCACAGTTTAAAAATCGGGGCTGCGATGCGGATCGGGCCTTGCTTCAACGTTTTAGTCCTTTCTCCTGTGAGGCCCAATCAACTCCCACGCACGATCGACAAGCTTGCCCCCAATTCTTTGCCCGGAAATTCACCCGGGCAGACAAGAACAAAAAAATGGGGTTTGTTTGTTAGGGATCCGGGCGGAAAGCAGGCCGGCGGAGGAATATGCCGGCGTTGATGATCTAAAGTAGCCAGCTGAAGATGATCACCACACAAAAGCAAATAGGTGTAGAGAGGAGCATGTGTTTACTTAAAGATGGTCAAGGATGTATGACGGGCAATGAAAGGGAAATTCAGGGACGAAGGAAAAAGGATTGGGGGGCAACGACACCACAACGAAAAACATAGGAGGATAATAATGATGATAACAACTCAAATAATAATAGTAACAAGGTGTAAAAAAAAAAAAAAATTTGGAAAAAAAGAAAAAGAGAAGTAGAGAGACGAAACGAATAAAATGCCTTCACATAAACCAGAAAAAAATAAGAGGAGCAGATGGGGATGCCCCAACCAACGAGCAGGGCAAGTAGAGGCCAGACCTGGCTCACTTCAGGGAGAAGGCCCGAATGGAGATCCGAAAGGTGGCATGTCAACAGGCCGAAACAGCCACGCCCATTGGGAAACGGAGGGAAGCGGAGACCGATTCTTCTTAGGTTACTGGGGATTAAATCTAAGGTCGATGCTGCGCGGTTCATTGGCAAGAGTGTAAAATGCTCGGTCTCGATGGCATCGATGGCTTCGGTAGCCGGCCATGATTGGGTACCGGAAGGTTGTCCCTGGCCGGTGGAATCCATGGGTCTTCCTCTGACAGTTTAAAAAGGGTATTGCTAGTATTATCCCGAGGATCGCTGGGAGCGAACCCGCTTTCGTCTCTGGGAGCCTTAGGGTGCAGTAAGATAGTAGAGTGTAGACAGTGCGGACGGTGGCAAACTCCAGAGGGTCCTGCACGTCCTGGTTCCGAGCGTCTGATGGGCCTTAGCCCGAGGTGCATGCGTGGCAGTGACCATCGGGATTGACAGCTGCAGGAAATTTATAGCCCCAGGATGAATTGATCTACAACCAGACCCGACTCGGTAGCGTGATTCTGCCTTTTTATGGTTACAGCTGTCCACTCTGTGCCGATGGCGGCCAAACCGACTGTTTTGAGCATCAGCATCATTGGGTGATTGGGAAACAGCCAGAGTTTGGAGGGTCCAGACGCACACAAACACAGAACGTGATGGAGTCATCCTTCGGACATCCGATAAATTATAACCATGATGATGAGAATAATAATAGTGGTGATAAAATAATAATAATGAGAACAATAAATAATAACAAGAATGGTAAGAATCACACAAAATCGACCATGGAAATTTCGGGGGATAGCGAAGAGGTTAGAGCGACCAGCAAAGTGGGGGCGTGGACAGACAGGAGGGGGGTGCAGGTGGGAAACCACCGGGTATGCATACAAGCATTCTTATTATCCTGGATTATTGTTCTGCTGCATTGCGGATGGAAGGACGAGGGAAACACCTCCTCCAGCCCTAAGACCACCCAGACTGGAGGAGGTGGGGAACAAGGGTGATACTGCGCACCGTGATTGTCGATGTTCCGTCTGGACGGAGTTCGGATGGGTCTCCAATCCCATCCCGCTATTAGCATGCAGGATCAAGGTCGATTCATCTCATCGTACCGAGTACACCGGAATCACCTAAGTACGAGGAGGCGACCTGGAGGACGGGAGAAATGATCCTAATGGATGGATGGCTGTGGAGGCATATCGATTGTAGTACTGGGTAGTCATGGGGAAGGAGGGAGACAAGGGAGGGATGAGGGAGGATAGCGAACGAACCTTTGCTAGTCTGGCCACCTGACCTGGCCAGGGTACATTCCCACTAGGGCCCGATCTCCATCACACCCACTGAGCATTGAGCGGCCAACACCACTTCACGTCCCACGGGAGCTGTGGCAGTGGCACTGCTTCTTGCGGCTGCACGTCCTGCGAGGACAATCACCGACTCTTCCGGGTAGCAGCGCCTTGCAGAATTCTTCTGCCTGTCTTGTGGTTGACTAAATCAATACCTGGCGAGGGGGCAAAAGAGGAAGGAGGGGGAAATTGCTTGTCTTTCCACCATTTACAACTACTAGGCACTTGGTACTACTAGCACCCTACCGTATCGTGCAGCATACAGACTCATGTAAGCCGTTTTCCTTTTAACTGTCATTCTGGAATCTATTGATCGTTCCCATCCTTCTTTGCTTCACTACGGAGTAGCTCGGACCAAATAAAGGTTGAATAAGGTTTGATTTAGGGAAAGCCGTTGTGTACACAGTAGGTCGGACATCCACGAAAAGACCACCCTCAAGTCTTCAATTCATTAAGTTCTAGCTGGGAGCCCTGAATACGGGGTACAATGATTCCTTAAGGAAGGGAAATATCTAATAGTACAGGGATTGTTGTCGTCTCCCTAGACTATTCAGCCTATTTAGTACCTGAACCGCCACCTATGTGCTTCATACGAACCGCCGTGTCTACATGGTACCACAGCATATTAGACTGGGACCCTGAGTAAGCTTCAACATGCCACGACATGCTTCCGTAGAGTGTAGAGTCATACTTTCGAAGTCAATGACTGAAGCTCCCGTGGTGAGAATGATTGGTGTGCCTGTTAGCCGGTACATTCTCCCACCGTCCCACTATCCATACTATTTGGATCATTTCCTCTCTCACTCCCATCAGGTTTTCTCTCTTTTCCCATAGATCTCCGTCTTCCCGTTCCTAATTTCAACCCGCTCCATTATGAAACGGCAGTCTATTGCCTATTTGGTGCCCGGGATCAGTGGCACTGCATGTACCGGAGTATTTCGTACTAAGTAGTGCTTCGGGAGGCTCCACATCTGACTTGGGGGACCGGATGGGATACCAGCCAATCAATGCAATACCACTTCAACCTCATCTCATCCTTTTCCGGAGACTCCTTGGCCCAATTCCCCCCGCCACCAGCGGCGTGGCCGGGCCCTTTTTGGCATACTCCGTGGTTCAGGACTCCGTACCGTGGCACATCCCCACTATTGAATACTTTCGCGCGTCTTTTTTTCTTTTCTTTTTTCTTTTTTCCCCCCATCTGGCCCCAGGGGCCCCTGGGTATCTGAGTTTTCGGGATTTGGTCTACAGTTGACATGAGTCAAACGATCCCGGCTGAGCGAAAGGGTGAATGAAGCCTAGGATGGGAAATCAAAATGGTTGACCTGACTATTTACTAGTACCTAGTAGTAAAGTAGTACGGAGCACTCCCTCCTCCTACTACTACTAGATACTGTGTAGTACGGTACTTAGGGTGCAGGGAATTGGCGCAAGGCCAATGGTAGCTGCAGGAGGCTGCTGTCGACGGTGTTTCCTACGGTCACGCTAGCTCTGTCTAGGTGGAGATTGCTGTCTGTCGTGACTCGTGCCCCGTGAGATGAAGGTTGCTGAACCATTTGCTTCTAGAGACACAAAGAACAATCGAGCAGCTCCTGAGTAGGAAGTCAGATCGAATGCTTCTTCTACTGGGTAACCTCTGCTTGGGATCTGCTTCTAAGCAAGGTGCTTCCGAGTCGTCTTTCAGTGGGTCGTGTTAGTGTTATTGGGTAGGTGCTTGGGTTATCTCCAGCCCCGACCGGGACACCCTCCATGGCAGGCACTAAGGTTTCTGACTTTTGTACTATAGGTAGACTCGATGGTTGTCAATCAGGAAGTGTAGCCAAAAGCCACCAGCTTGAACAGCCCGGGGCCTTATTGCGAGGGATCAAGCTAGTTGGCCTATTCCCCTGGCCTGGCGAAGATGCCTTACGGTGCCCAAGTGCTACTAGTAGGTACCCATTGGCAGCTGATAGTACCAGGAACTTACTCTGTACCTTTACTTCAGTACCAAGGTACAGTACAAGTATGTACACCAGTCGTACACAGTACTTTCCCCCCCAGCTTGATGCACTAGTTCATGTGATACCTACCAGAAACCGCCTAGGCATGAGTCGGTATGCAATACTAGAGTTACAGTATTCAGCCACAACATACAGAGGACTGCTCTCGGGCCGTGGGAAACCCACACGGGAAATACAGGCAATACGTCCCTAGTACAATAATGTCGACGCCATACCTACAAATGTGGCAGAGACTCCCGACAACCATCGATTGTTCCAGAACCTCCGCCAATCTCAGAGCACCAATCCCAGCGAATGAGGAGCCGCGTCTACTTTTCAGATACTCAGTACGTAGTAGCTATTGGAATTTGGAACTCGTCCAGTGGGTTTACGTTGAAACCCTCAGGGTTCATCAGTGGCCAGGTAAGGAACCCACTTCAGGATTGACCCCCTTCAGGTATTCTCTTGCTCTGTACTGCTCTGTATGTACGAGGTATCTGATCGCTCGAGGCCGGCAACAGAGACTGCACCCACTAAGCGGATGCGGATTCTTCATCCGTCTCGGCTATCGGCCTTCGCCGTCTGAACCATACTATGTATACTACATAGTATATTGACTGTCGCTGTCGAAGACGGTAACTACGTCGAGTGTCTACTACTAGAGATCACGCCATGTCAATCCCGAGCCACGAACTCCATTTGCATCTTCGCAGACTTGTCAGGTCTTTAAATCCCCCAGGGGTTGTCGGCTGTGCCTGGTACCTTTTTTTTTCTCCCACGGTAGTAGCGCGGCGGTAGATGCGGTGGGTATACAATGATCTGGAACGATAAGATGATTCGTGCACACTTCATGCACTGCACAGTATGGCATGATCAATCCATCAATCCATCCAAAGGGGAAGGGAATTTGCCACCGGGGAGGAGACAGAGCCAAGGTGGAAACTACTGCTCCATCGTGGCGGGGATTGACACGGTACTAGCCTAGTGGGTGGGAGTTGTGTGAGTGTGCGTAGACTGAAAGCATTCACAGAGCGCACCTAGAACGCCTCTTTGAGTCTCTCCTGCACATTGATCACCCTGGCAAACCCCCTCCCACCATGCCTTACTTTTCTTTTCAAATTTTTATCTTTATTTTCTCAGGAAGATCTCAGGATCATCCCCCACCCTCTGGGCGAGGTGGATGGAAGCCATTGGAACCTTCTGAAGGGGGCAGTTTGACCGCGATGATCCGTTTCCCACCGCGCTTGCCTTGCGAACGCCACGCCGAAGCCAACATGACGTCATTGTCTCCGGCCCACGCCAACTGGAGGAGGGATCGTAAACACCTCGCATCTCCAGCCTCTCCGGCCTCGGTTGATTCGAACAGCTTGGGAAGGGAAAGAAGAGAGGGGCTCAAGGTTCCATCCAGCCACTGCGCCAGCGCCCTCTGCCTGACCGAGGAATAACCCACCAATTGACGCCCGAAGAGGCTGGTTGGAGGCCACGGTGTATCGGACGATCTGATCATCGATTTCATCATCGCTCGACTAAAATATATCCATTGTGCACGATCGCATACGACCCGAGCCTTAGGAGGAAGAGGTGCCGTGGTACATGGGACATGGGACATGGTACCCGGGTGTGCAGCGCGCGCTGGCTCGGCCACTAGCATGCATGCCCCCGAACTAGCTCTCCTACTATGTATGTACAACGCCCCC